CAAAATATTAAAACCGATTATTTTGGTTACCAAACTAAAAATTCCATGGAGAATTCGATTTGGTTTTGGATAGTAAAATAAAAAATAAAAATAATTATTAATTATAAAATATTAATTATCAATTATCAATTATCAATTATCAAATGTATCTAAATATATATATATATATTTTTTTTTTGAAGATGGGCAATTAAGGGAGGGGGAAGGGAAGGGGGTGGGGTTTGAACCCCACACCTTAAGATGAGATGCCCTTTAACAATATTTAGGTGGCCACTTGAGCCACTTGAGCTTCTCAAATGTATTTAAATAATTAATCTGAAAAAGTTAGTTCAATATAATTCTATAGGTGATTCTTCATTTAAGATATGTAAAGAATTTAAAGAGAAATCTAATCGTCATTAGAACACCTGATTTTACTACTGACAAACCTAATCATAATTCTGAACCACCAAAAATCCAAAACCAACATAACCAAGAACAACTAATTAATTACATGTTCAATGCTCACCATCCAATTTCGATGCAACAAAACAGAAAGGACAACAACAAAATAGAAAATCAGGCTAAAAGAATAGAACAAGTAGAGGAAACTAAAAATGTTGCAGGAAATTTCTGGAGCAGATACCAGAACAAGCAAAATTGATTAAACCACAAAAAATTAGCTTAGGTATTGAAATGATCATGTAAAAGCATGGACGACGCCATATTGCTCCATTAAAACCCCTATCAAAACGATGAAATTAAGAAAGAATATCACTCAAAGGAACGAAAATTTAGACACCAAACAGAAGTGTATTCAAACCATAGTGATTTTCTTGATAAACAACCAGAAGCTAAAGAGAGAAATGAGAAACTTACGATCATAGAACTACACCCAACAATGATGGAACTAGCTAGATAGTGGAGACCATTTGATAACACCAGAAAGGAAAGGATGGGGAGTCTGGAAGATAACTAGATAATGTTGCATCAGTCGAAAGAAGTACTTGGAGGTAGGGCTGGGCAAACTGTCGGTTAACTAAATGGATAATTGAAAATCGTTAAAAAATTAACCAAATGGTTAGATATAAATGGTTATTGGGTTTTATTTTCAATTTTGGTTGGATAACCGAAAAAATTTGATTGGTTAATGGTTAAAGAATTGAAAATCCAAAACCAAATATCTAACCGAAAAGTAAAATTTTATATTAATAAATA